GGGGGGAAGAATGGCTGAGCTATGGGAACAAAAAGCAAGATATAGTTTCCAATAGCCCTAATTAAGATATTAGCCTTGTTCTACTTCTAGGCTTCCTGTATTTAAAAAAAAAAAAGAAAAAGAAAGAAATCAAGAAGATCATAAGCATCTGGGTTGGTATTGCTTAAACTTGGCTGTATGCTGTGATACTACTCTGCTGGAATGAAGGTGAACGAGAGAGCCGAGAGAGCCCGGCAAATGGTTTTCACTGTGTCTGCCTATGTTTGCATTTCTCTGCAGTTTGCATTCCTTGAAAGGGGCTTTTGTATCTTCGAGTTCTTTAAGTGCTTAAGGAATAGAATGTACCCAAGGGCTAAGAAAGGACAACTGTCACCAATTCAATTTAACCCTTATTTCAAAATTCTCTCCAGCAAAGGCTAGACACCCATTACTATCTCTTGAAGAAGGAAAGATGCAAAGAGTTACATATGAAGCTGCTACCAGGAGCTTCTCACTCTGCAGGCAGGAAAAGTGTGGGAGTTTAAACTTTGTTCTATGTCAGTCTATAAGATAAACCAGGAAGAAGAAAGAGAAAAAGAAGGTAAGGAGAAACTTCTTTCTTGTTAGAATTGTCTTCATTGTCATTTTATGAGGATATATTATAAGGAGAATTTTATGAGGAGTGAAGAGTTTGAGTTTGAGAAAAACTGAAGAGATTATTTTGCTGTTACTTCTGGAGAGAAACTGAGAGTGTACATGGAGAAAGAAGATGGAGATATCTTCTTTCTTTATAAAACTCTTAAAACTTTAATTTTGTGAAGATAATAAAGAAGATCCTTGTGAAGATACTTTACTCGTTATCTTAAGTGAACTAAATGGTGTGGGACTATTCTCAAAAGCAAAGTCATCTATAATTACAGTGAGGCTTGAGGTGACTGATTTTCTCACAGCTAAAAAAAATATTGTAAATAATTAAAATTATTGTAAATAATTATCTGCTTAATTATTGACTTCATTGTATATTCCGTAGCTTTAATGTTTAACTAGAAGATTAAGGGATTTAATGTGGGTAACCACTATTAGGAAAGGAGGTTTCTCCAGTTTATCAAATAATATTCCATGAACTGATCTGAGGGCTCTGAGTCTAGTAGCTGAGAAATAGGTTGAATTTATAGTAATCCATGAGGATACATCTAAACATAACCCTGGATTATTCTAGAGCTCAGGATGATGAGATTAAATATGGAAATGGAATGAGCAGCTGCATCCTTATGAAGATACATTCTAAAGCCCACCCTATTTCCTTGGGTAAGTCTGTGCCAGAGGTCACAGGACTCTGACATCAGAGAACTTATAAATCAAAATACCAGTGTAGCAATTTATGATTCAATTTTTTAAAAAATTCTAAAGTGCTTGTTTCCTCAAAAGAATGTACACCCACCAAGCCAACCGGATATCTATGGCAGGTCAGCAAAGCACTGAGTATTGAATTTTGAGGTGCCTAAGAAAGCTAATTAACAATCAGTCACCTGGGTTCAACTCTGGTCTCAGACACTTACTAGCTGTGTGGCCCTGGGCAAGTAAGTCACTTAACCCTGTTTGCCTTAGTTTCCTCATCTGTAAAATGAGCTGGAGAAGGAAATGGCAAACCACTTCAGTATCTTTGCCAAAAAAAAACCCAAATAAGGTCACAAAGAGTCAAATCCAACTGAAAACAACTGAACAACAGCAAGCCAACTCAGACAGCATTTATTAAGCACTTACTGCATGCTAGGCACTGTGAACATAAAACCAGGTCAAAGAGAAAAGGGTGCCCTTAAAGTACAACTGTCATAAAGTTGCATTCTACCTTTTCTCCAACGTCTGCAGGGCCCTCTCCCTAATCAGTATTTGTGCGCTAGAAAAAGAACGCTATATTCTCAGTCTCCAGCTCTCCTTGATTTTCTGACAACTATCAGCATTCCATCTGCTTTGGTTATTTCAACATCTTCCTCCTTCATTTCAACAGACTTTCATAACATTATAGTTACCAAATTTATAGCTGATACTGTATTTTTCACATGTTAGGATGACTGCTTCCTAAGGCTATCTAGGAAAACTAACATGTACCTAAATTATGTTATATGATGAATAATTTATGGGAAATTTTCGTATAGGCAAAGGGTTCTTCTCTTTCTTTTTTTTATGTCATGGGCCTCTTTGGCATTCTGGCAAAGTCTAGGGCTCCTTTCTCAGATTCATGTTTTTAAATGTATAAAATAGGATCATAAAAAAACCAATTATATTGGAATACAGTAATAAAAATTTAAGTTCATAGACTCCCCTCCCCCAACATCTATATATGGACTTTTTCAATGGATCCCACGTTATAAACTCCTTTTATAAACAGTTCTATCCATCAAATGTAGAATAGTGCCTGTCAGTTCAATCTATCAATTAACAATTTTTAATATTTATGATAAGAAATGGGATAGATAGTGATTCAATCCAGGTAAGAAAAAAAATTAATATATTTGCAGAATAATCAAGGAGCAAAGCTATAGAGGAGCACTGCATTTTGTATTTGTTCTGTCCTTTCAGTGGTGCCCAACTTTCCTATGATCCCATGGGACAGATATATGCAGTGGTTTGCCATTTCTGTCTCCAGCTCATTTTACAGATGTGGAAAAAGGGTGAAGTGACTTGCCCAGGGTCACACAGCTCATGTCTGAGGCCAGAATTGAACTCAGGTCCTCCTGACTCCAGGCCCAGCGCACAGAATAAGCAATTTTTCGTGAAATAAAAGTCCAAGGAAGAGAGAGGTCAGCATGAGCTGGAGCAGAGTGAGAAAGCTGGACTGTGTGAGGTGATGCTTGCTGTGATGCGCCAACGATGAGAAGACTCGGTTAGGCCAAGAGGAAGAAGCAGGAGGAGCCAGGAGGAGCATGGGCCACTCCTGGACCAGGGAGGAACAGGCCTGGCTGGCTGGAGCAGAGAGTGGGGGAGGGAAGAGCAGGCCAGAAAGGCTGGCTGGGATCAGATTACTGAAAGATTTTAAAAATCAGGTAGGAATTTGTACTGAATAAGCTAGCCGACAGGCAAAATTTGAGAATTGTACCAGAGGAGTAACTTAGCGAAGGTGGTGGCTTAGGAAGGTTAACCTGGCAAGGGCGAAGGTGTCACTGGATGATAGAGAAGAGAGAAGTGATGTGGGAGAGAAACCAGCCAGAAGGACGTTGCAATAACCAGGTGCTTAGTGGTGAAAGTCTCAACTGAGGTGAAAGTAGACTAAAGCAGAAGACAGGAACTCAAGGGAGAAATGCCTGTTTCACCTCAGAGGCAGTGCTACTCAGGGTCAAGGAGACCTGAGTTTGAATCTAGTCTCAGACACGTCCTAGCTGAGTGACAGTGCCTCAGTTTCCCCCTCGGTAAAAGGGGGATAATAATACCACCTACCTCCTAGAGTTGTTATGAGGATAAAGTAAGATGAAATTTACTAAGGCTTTGCCAGCCTTAAAGCACTAGATAAATGCCAGGTTTTACTACACCTTTTTTCTTGATATGTGCTGCCCACTGGGGGCACCCAATCCATGGCCTAGAAGTACTCCCAGACAAATGTAAACCTTCTCACTACTAGACCTTTGAAATGACTGGCAGAGTGTGAAGTCACTTTCCTATCCCCCCACGTTCCCCTTCCTTCTTCCCATACCTTTCAGCTCCCTTTCATGTGCTGTCTTCCCCCATTAGAATGGAAGCTCCCTGAGGGCAGGAACTAGCTTTTTTTTTTGTTTGTATTGGCTCCCCAGCACTTAGCACAGTGCCTTGCACACAGTAAGAGCTTAATAAATGCTGGTTGCTTTCATTCCTTTTTTCTTTCCTCCTAAAAATAGGAAGACGTCTGAAAAGAGTCGTCTTTTCTCCTAATGTGACAAAAGAGCAAGTGGTGGAAATAAGAAAAAGGCACCCAGTCCTTAGAATTGTAATGTCATTCTTTAACTTCTTTTTTAACTTATCCAGGTAAGAAATTCTCACCACCGATGGTTATAAAAAGAGAGGCACTGTGGTGTAATGGCTAGAGAGCCCTCCAGCCCTACCTCGAACACATCCTGGCTGTGTGACTTTGGACAATTTAACCTCTCTAAGACTCTGAACTGGAGGTGGGGGGATGGGGGAAGGAAAAGAAAAGAAAAGGACCTGGTCTGCCTTGGTAGCAGGAGCTGCTCACCTAGAGTTCCCTGCATTGATAAAATAACAGCTTCACACCAAAATACAAATTCTGTAAATGCATACAGGGCAGCCAGGTGGCACAGTGGATGGAGCACTGGTCTTGGAGTCAGGAAGTCTCATCTTTGTGAGTTCAAATCCAGCCTCAGACACTTACTAGCTACGTGAAGCTGGGGAAGTCACTTAGCCCTATTTGCCTCAGTTTCCTCAACTGGAAAATGAGCTGGAGAAGGCAATGGCAAACCGCTCCAGCATCTGCCAAGAAAACTCCAAATGGGGCCATGAAAAGTTGGAAACAACTGAATAACATCAACACCAACAAATGAATGCATATCCTTGACAGCTAATCTCCTTTCCCACAGACCAGTCCACTGTTAAAATAGTCCACATGATTTTAATTTAATTCTTTCCCTTTGCCTTGTATTGCCAGAGCTTAGCATGGTGCCTGGCATATAGTGGGCATTTAATAACTGGCTGAGTTGGTATATTTTTCTCTCAATAGGAAGAACCCAAAGGGTTTTCCTTTATTTCTATTCTAATATTATTATGTGCCCTCAATATTCAACGAAGATTATGCTTAATTAAGTCCATTTATCTCGAATTAGCCCATCTGACATTCTTCAACTGTTAGAGACTGTAACTGTCATCCTAAAATAACACAATGACATTTAATTGGAATCCTTTCCAAGGAAGAACTGTGAAAGTGCTTGTCCAATCATGGCTCTTTGTCCCATCTCCCCTGCCTACAAAATGACGGAGACCTCTTAAATGCATACTAATATGCTATCAGTTCAAAATATATATAACTCCTGACTTACCTGGTCCTTCTCTGGTTTATCAGAAATGTCATTCAAACTTGAGGAAGTCAAATTCCTAGGGGTCATGGCTGGGCTACCTAGAAGGAGAGATAAGATTGGGCACCAGTTAAGACATCTTTTATAAAACATAAAGACAAAGACTACAATACAAATATGTGTCATAAAAGCTATTATATGATGATGGTAGTAATGGTAATGATGGTGATTTTAGTGATGATAAGGTTTGCCCAAAATGGCTTTCCAGATGTTTTGGTAGTTGGGTGTATAAAACATGGTACTGCAAGAAGCTCAGAAATCTACATTAGTCCACCCTCATTACCTGATTGCATGACAGAAAGCTCCAAGTTAGGAAAATGCTAAACCACTGACAAAGTTCACTTGTTTTTGTTTTACAACCCCATTCTTTACCCCGTCTATTCAGACAGCTAGCAAATTTTATCAACTTTTCTCTTACAAAGTTGCTTGAAGGTGTGCCCTTTCTCTCCATCTCTACAGTCATTCACTCATTCTCCTTCTCCCTCAATTTTGTTTCTGGCCATGTCTTACCTGAATCATTTAAAGGGTTTACAGTGACATAGTGTTTTCCAGGAGATTGATACCAGGAAATGAATTTTTTGACCATGCCAGTTCAGTCTGCCTTGGTCAAAGAAAGCACTCAAGCTGATGAACACATGGACTTTTTGAAGCATTGAAAAAATTATATATAGTATCCCAGCATGTTTCCACCTCCGTACACCATCTCATGTGGTCTTTCCAACAACCCTACAAGGTACGTTTTTGTCAAGGAAGAAAGTGTCAAAGAGGTTGTGATTGTTTAGGGGCAGGCCAGTCTGCAAATGATACAGTTGGCACTTACTGCATTTCTGTTGAGGAAAAGATCTTGTAGTGACTTTTCTACCTTCGATCTTGATCATGCATGCCTTTCTTTGTCCATGAAGAGGCCACCTTTTCAGAGTATACCATGCATACCATCCATAGAATATGTATACTATGTATGTATGTATTACATAATATACTGTGGATCCTAGAGAGGCAGAATGGATCCTGGATTTGGAGTCAGGAAGACCTGAGTTCAAATTGGGCTTCACATACATCCTAGCTGTGTGACCCTGGGTGACTTGCTTAAACATCTCTGTGACTCAGTTTCCTCAATCTGTCAAATTATGGACTTGGATTCAGTGGCTTCTCAGGTCCTTTCCAGCTTTAAATCTATGGCCTCTAAGAGCCTCATTCTCAGCCTCAAAGAAAGTTCTTTAAGAAGCTTACCCGAGGCTTCCTTACTCCCCCTTTCTTCTCTTCTCCACTCTCTTTTTTATGTAGTAGTAACAACAAAATAACAATAACAGCAACAACAATAATAATAACACCACCTACTTCCTAGGGTTGTTGTGAGGATTAAATGAGACAATTGTAAAGCACTTAGCACTGTGCCTTGCACATAGTGGGTGTTGCAGAAATATTGTTATTGTTATTATTAGTGTTAGTGTTTATATAATGCTTTAATGTTTCCAACGTGCCTCACAAATGTCATCTCATTCAATCCTCTCTCACAACAGCCTTGGAAGATAAGTGCTATTATTATTCTCATTTTTACAGATGAGGAAAATGAAACAGAAGTTAAATGACTTACCCAGAGTCATACCCTAAAAAAGTATCTATGGCTACATTTGAACTCAGGTCCTCCCAATACCAGGTACAGTGCTCTAACCTAGGTACTACCTACCTAGCTCTAGATATAAAATAAATTTCACTGAGATTATCAGTTGGAACATGTCTGCCTAGTAATATAGCAGTGAGAGCCAAAATGATTTGGTGGACCACCATTAAATGACATTTCCTCAAAAAATTAAAAAAAAAAACAACCTTAAAACAGAAGAGATCATTCAATAGGAGGTGAGTTAAGAGAAATCTAAATACCTGACAGTGAATACTTAGTGTAGACCATATTAATCAATGAAGTATTGGACTTCAGTTCTGCAAATAAGCCTAAAATATTTAGGCTTACCAAGCAAAAGAATAACTTTTTCAATTTAGGGGATTTACTCTCTCCCCTACCTCTGACCCCCAATGCACACACAAGGCGCTGACTAACGCATTCATTATTAATCCCAATGGCCCAACACAGGCTGGCATTCCAAACAAGAGGTCAAGGGTTACCAAGCTAGAACGGGGCTTTCCATTGGCTTCCAGAGAATTCTTCAAGTTAAATACCTAAGTTCTTTCAAGATGAAATCCATTCTTTTATTGCCTAAGGGTGAAGTTAGCTCCTTAGCACAGCAAATCTTTATGGCGTAAAATTCCTCTCTACTGCATAACCAGTAAATTCCTCATCTGCTAGAGAGTATGGCAATCCAGGCTCATAAAGGCTAATTAAGTCAGAGATAATGCTTGTACGCCCTGCTGTATTTCAAAGAGTAAACATGACCTTGAGCTCTCTCATAAAACTATAATCTGGTATTTTAAAACGAATTTTTATTCTGCTAGGAAGATCAAAATAAAATGTGAAAAAGCCTGGTAACTGCTGGCCATACTCAAGTCTCCATGTTAACACTCACTCCGTCATTGGTTCTGCATTGCTACTTAGCCCAGGTCCTGAAGCTGTGGCAAGTTGGTACAGTGGAAATATTGCTGATGAACTGAAAAGCAGAAGATTTCAGTAATCATGTAATTTGGGGGATAAACCCATCAGTAATCTTGGAACTACCTTTCCCCTTCCACAAAATGAAAGGAGCCATAAACATCCATTGGTGGGCAAAAGGACAGCCTGAGAAGAGTCTAGTAGGTGGGTATCCTGCAATAAAGATTTCTTTCTTCCTCTTCTCTGCCCTTGAGATTAGAATCGTCTTCCACTTTGAGGACTGGAACCAAGAGGCGTATGGAGTGAGGACCCTGCCCTAGTTATTGTCACTGATACTATTAACTAGGACTGGTGATGGGGGAGGCTGAGGCCAGGTCAGAGCAGGGCTGGGCTGCAAAGACCCTAAAGCCTCAAAGTTCACTGAGAAGACCTGAAGACCATTCATCTGCCTGTATGCCCCACTATGTGCTCTCACTTCCAGAGCTGATCCCAGGGGGCTCCCATGGAGGCCAACTCTTCCTTTGGTCTTCCCAAGGACCTTGGGAGAAATACGGCTTCCTAGTCCCTCAGGTACCTCCAAAGGAAAAGCCAGGAAAAGGCTTTGAGAGAGGTGGCTCTGATCACTTAACAATGTCCAGACCTCTTCAATACATTTTACAAACTACGTGGTTTTAAAGGAGGAGGAGGAGGAGGAGCAGGAGGAGGAGGAGGAGGAGGAGGAGGAAAAGGAGGAGGAGGAGGAGGAGCAGGAGAAGGAGGAGGAAGAGGAGGAGAAGGAGGAGGAGAAGCAGGAGGAGGAGGAGGAGGAGGAGGAGAAGCAGGAGGAGGAGGAGGAGCAGGAGAAGGAGGAGGAAGAGGAGGAGAAGGAGGAGGAGAAGCAGGAGGAGGAGGAGCTAATATTTAGCACTCTAAGGTTTGCAAAGTACTTTACAAATATTATCCCATTTGTTCTTCACAACAACTCTGGGAAGTACAGATAAGGAAACTGAGGCAGAGGTTGTTCAAGGTTACATGGCTACAATAAGGTTACACTTTTCAGTCAGTGACGGAGGTGAGATTTCAACTCAGGTCTGCCTAACTCCAAGGCCAGTGCTCTATCCACTGGGCCACCTCATTGCTATACAATAATAAAAATAGTGAAGAGTGCGATTGAGGAGGGGAGATCCCAGAAGTGGGAATGGGGGCAATGAATCACAGACAGATTTTCATGGTCTTGTAGTTTCATAGAAGATCCTGTGATCTAGAGTTGGAAGGGATCTTTAAAAGCCATGTCTCATCAAAACCAACCCCTCCATTTTACAGACAAGATTCATAGACATAAGTGACTTATCTGAGATTACACAGGTGGTACTTGTCAAAGGTGGGATCTGAACCTAGGTCTTCTGACTACAAATCCAGGGCTTTCTCCATTGTATCATGTCTCTAACCTTCTCTGTTGCTCTCTCTCTGTGTCTGTCTCTCTCTCCCTCCATCTCTCTCCTCTCTTTCTCTCTGTCTCTGTCTCTATCTCTGTCTCTCTCTCTCTCTCTGTCTCTCTCTGTCTCTCTCTCTCTCTCTCTCTCTCTCTCTCTCTCTCTCTCTCTCTCTCTCTCTCTCTCTCTCTCTCTCTCTCTCTCTCTCTCTCTCTCTCTCTCTCTCTCTCTCTCTCTCATTTGCAAGGATGCTTTGGCTTGTTCCATTTCTGACCAGGGCTGGTTTAGCCCTCCTTAGACAGTGTGCTGGCCCCTCCCTTCTGGGGGTCTCACCCTATCAGTGCCAGACTTAGTGCAGACATCAAACCACCATTATCCCTCCTACAGCTCAGAACTCCCGAGCTCAAGGGATCCCCCAGCCTCAGCCTCCCCGCCGCCCCCCCACACAATGCATTTTTTCCTCAGACCAGGGAGGGCTCCCTTCCTGCCAATCCCTTCCAAGCCTGAGGTTTGGCAGATCAAGGTGCTTGCGCAGGAACATACAGAAGATCTCCCTTGCTAGTTAATTAAAGTGACAGCCCATTTCCTACAGGCTTGCAGAAAGCAAAACACAAATCAGGTGCAGGCTGCACCTCAAGTGTCAGCTGGGAAACCTGCCAAGTGAACACCCTTGCCTATCACCGACAGGGTACCTAATATGCAATTAACCAGACTACACTGAAGGTCAAACATTCTTCTTAAAGATGGTACAGTGGATAGAGCTCTGGGCCTGGAATGAGGAAACCTTGAGTTCAAATCCAGCATCAGACATTCACTAGATGCATAACTCTGGGGAAGTCACTTAATATCTCTCAGTCTCAGTTTCTTTGTCTCTAAAATGGGGATAAGAACAGCTCCTACCTCACGGGCTCATTGTGAGAAGCAAATGAGTTAACATAAATAAAGTGCTTTGCAAACTAGTTATTAGTTCTTATTATTATCACTGTCCTCACCTGTGTTACCTGTTCAACAGCATAACATACATGTAGAAGAAAGTGCTCTCTCTCTCTCACACACACACACATACACACATGCGCACACACATACA